CCAAGGAGTTGGGTTGTCAAAAGACACAAACAAAAAGCACCCACTGGTGATGGACTAGTAGAGGATACCCAAAGCTTCCTGGATCCTACACTTGTATGGAATAAATGCTAAGGTCAAGGTCTCTGTCGGAAAGGGTGAGGACTTTCAGGGGTGTCTCCATTCATTTCCAATGGGGTGGCAATTAGACCAGCTACATATAACCTTACACTGGATATTATTTTATTTCCATAAGAATGGACAAAAAATAAACTCGTAATGTACATCAAGTGAAAAATGCTTAGCATGGGTTGCACGCAGCAGCTGGATGGCTTTCCATTCTTTGAAGCAGCTGCCTGTCTGGTTCCTATGTGCACATCTGGGCACAACCAGCACACGAATGGTAAGTTCCCAGCATTCTCTTCAGGTCTCATACCAGGGACCAGAACTTCCCATCTACCTCATAATAAATAAAGCTAATGACATTCACCGTGTCCATTGCATAGCATATAAAACGAAACAGGCACAGTCACAAATGTGAGCAGTAACTTCTCAGCCGGTTGACAAAATTAGCCACTAACTAAGCTACAGCCAAATCCCATCATTCACATCAGTTCCCTTACACTTTTATAAGAGACTCCCAGTTTTGAGGCGATTGGAGCCTCAGATGGTGTTAAGTCACAGCCAAGAGCAGCTTGGAAAGCAAATGACCCTTTATGGTGATGACACGCCACACATTAGTACTGTTCTCATGAAAGCTTCTTGACTTAGGATGGAGACACTTAATACACGTCACTGATCCTTTCATTCGTATGCAATTATGTACTTCCCAAACAACACTACAAACGAACGGCGCCAAAACGCAAAGCTACCTACACCCGAAGATTTTTCTCCTACTGAAAAAATAAACAGAAACATCTGTAATGAAATCAAGTATAAAGCTACATTTATTAACACATTCATTTCCTAATAAAACGCCATCTGCAAGCAAGCCTCAGTTTCCACTTGATATAAATAGGTCTTTTACTATTTTCAGATGCAGTTCCCAGAAAATTATTCTAAACCCAACTGCAGAATACATCAGTCTTTTATTATTATTTTTTTGGTTGCCTGGAATGTTAATAAATTCTTTAACATTAAGTTTTTCAAACAAAACAAATCATTTGTTTTGAAAGCATGCTTCAACCACAAAACTGACCTTTCACAATCAAGTTTGTTAGACTTTGAGCATCCTTAGTATTGATACAGAAATTCTAAGAAGCAGGGAAATATTTCAAGGATAAGAGATAATTAAAATGTCCCCGCTATACACACAAGCCTACATGCCTAAGCAAATATGGGTGCACACACATGCACATTTCATTGTAATAACAGTTTATGATCTCTCAACTCACAAATATAATGATATCTGCTTATTTGCATATCTCAGAATACTGTCTGTTTTCTGGACATTCCACCCCTCACCCCAGCTCTTCCCAAATGTATTTCACTAACACACATGTCAGCCTCCTGTCACTAGAGCCAGGGTAAGAGTCGGGAACGCTCAAAGAAATCCTGTGATTGTTCTATGGACATGCCTTTTTAGTAATAATTCAAAGTAATGCTACCACTCATCAAAGATGGCTGCTTTGACTAGGGACCCAGAATCCAATGTTTCGAACTCTTGGTGCCAGGGACTGGGGCTGAATTCTAATGCTAAGTGCTTTTGAAAAGTGCATCAAGATTTAATAGAGTGAATTTCCACACTTCATCAGAGTTTTAGCCACATAAATTCCATTAGGTTCAAAGCTCCATCACGCTCCACCCTGTCTTTATTTAGGCTCACGTTTTAACCTACACCCTTCTGAGCTCTCTTTGTAAGGCTGTCTCACCTCTCACTTGCTTTCCTCCCATTTTGGGTTTCCACATAACCCCTGAAGTCTGTTTCTTCTCCTGACTGTAGGACCCTAAGCTTCTCTCTACCCCTCTTTCATATCCTTCCTTGAGACCTGTATTTTAAAATAAGTACTTTCTTCACCGAAGTCTTATCATGACTTTACTGCACCTGGCCCGTGTCTCACACAAGGCTCTACCAAAGTCTGTATGTACAGCCCGCCTCTGAAGGCTGCATGCACGTAGGCCGCTTCTTGGACCATCATCTCCCGAGGGGATGACAACTCAGACTCTCTTTGGAAATGTACCTCTCATTTGTGTGCCAGAGCATTGAGAAAAAACATGAAGCCCTTTCTGAATCTGGGTCAGCCATGTTGTGAATGTATAAGAGAGAGGGTGACAAAACAATGGATCTCACTGGAACTGTGACCTGTCACTCTATTAATGAGGTGCAGACACGGGCTGACAGACCTCTTGATAGGCCAGTGCAATTTCCAGACTAGTCCTGAATGACAGCACTGCCTTGTAAGGAGGGAATGACAGCAGAAACCAAGGCAAGAGAAGGCGGGGGTGGGGGGATGCTATCTCAGCTTTCCATTATACTCTTTCAAAGCAGGTTTATTTGGGGGCTTCAGGTATTACAGTCCTGTATTAAGTCATCCAGCGAAATTTAGGATTAGGATTTGCAAATGACTGAGCAGAAGCAGAGCAGAATAAGACACAGGCAGACAGAGGACAGTTGAAAAACTACAATTGAGGATGGGTTTTCTAGCCATCGTTTCCCTTTGTTCATGTTATCTGATTAACGTTGTGGCTAAAAACATGTCATCAAGCTCCCGTTTTTGAAGTTCATTCATTTGACTCACATTTATTGAGTATCTACTACATGCCAGGCATTTGCTAGACGCTTGGGATGCAAAGAAAAATGAGACATTCCTTGCTCTCAAGGAGCTCACAGTCTAGTAGTGGGGATAGACACAGAAACGAGGAACTACAGTACAATCAAACAGTGCCAGTCATGGTGGGTATAAGGCGCCAGAGGGCCCCAGAAGAAGCGGGTTGTCCTGAAGCCTGGTGAAATCAGGGAAGCTTTCACAGAGAAAGCAACAACTGAGTAGACGTGAAGGAGAAACAGGACATCACCAGGAAGACAAGAGAGGGTAAGGAAAGACACTGTATGCTGCAGGGACAGTGGGCAGAAAAGCGAGGAAGCGTGGTAAAGCATGCTATGGCGGGGAACCGCAGGTAGCTCCATATGGTTGCGATTTCATATGCTTATGAACAAGTAGTGAAATATGAACTCAGAAAGGGAGTATGAAATCAGAGCATGGAGAGCTTTGTATGCGGGGCCAAGAAATCTGGAATTTGTCCTGGAAGCGATGAGAGGACACTGAAGAATCCAAAGCAGGGACTCACATGGCCAGGTCTGCCTATTAGATCAGCCCGTATGGAGGATGGTTTGGAAGGGAGGTGAGACTAGAGGTATCACAGTAGGCCAGGTAAGAGATGCTCACGGGCAGTGAGGGTGACCAGGTGACAGATTGGGGAGATACTTAGGAGGAAGCTTGACAAGGCTTGATGAATGATGATACAAAAAGAAAAACTGCCTCAGGACTGAAGCAATATTAAAAACATGCATTCAGAAAAGACAACCGACCGCCCCGGTCCTCCCTGCCTTTGAGTTTCCACCGTCCTCTGAAATCACCGCATCTGCTGAGTAGGAAGAAAGGAAGAAAAGCCAGAGGGCACATATGGTCAGGCTTCTCTAATTCAGACACACTAACTCGGCATCTGCAACAACACACACTGTCTGTGACGCCTCTTGGGTAAGAATGTCAGCCTACTTCCGTCCTCCTTGTCTTTTCAAGCTGTTAGTCCCCCAGAACAGGAATCCAATCTAAAAGCAAGTGGCTTCTTCCAACCAAGCGCTTGAAGTGCAGTAGGCAGCTGCATGCACAGTGGTGTCTGAGGGGTACCCAACATATGTCCCCCACCCAAGGGCCACTGGGCCTGAGGTCGAATCATCAGCCATTCGTTCCTTTAGGAGAGGCTTTGGTCCCTTGGGACTTCTCTTTCTCAAGGCCATGACTCCTGAGATGGGTAGGGCATTTAGTCATTCTAAACCCAGTGGCGTTTTGGTGGAGCATAATGCCTTTCACTTTGACAGAGGGAAGCAAGGTAGTCTAAGAGGGTTATGTAGGTACCTGTGGAAGAAGGTGATGCAGAAGGGAAGGTAGAGGGCTGCAGAAGATAACATAAGCACTTGCCAAGGAATAGCCCTGTAAGCACTCAGGAAGCTAAGAGTCTTAAAGAACGCCTTTCACTTCAGGTTTCAGCAAATCACACGTGTACCCTCTTGTACCTTAAGGAACTTCTGTGTTTTATGTTTATGATATGCTGTCGGCTAGTCAAGGCCTATGGAGACTTGCAATCTTTTCACGGCCCTCATACTGCTTCTGCCCAAGAAAAATCTCCAGTGCTATTAATTTTTTTTGAATAATCCCTTTTATTTAATTTGTTTGTCTGTTTGTTTGTTTGTTTATGTTTTATTTTTTTATTGTGAAATTAAATAAATATTTTGTAGGGTGTCAGATGGTCACATGTCTTGCTAGGGAGACTGTATCATGGATGGGGTAGAGGCTTGATCACTGCACTATACACCTGAAGCTGACATTGTATAATATTGTATGTCAACTATAAGTGAGTCAACTATAAGTGAATATATATATATAT